CCCTGGCTGACCGGCAACGCCTCCATGTACTTCTTCAGATCCAGATCCAGGAACTCGAAGACGAGGTAGAGCTTGTGGCCGTCGGCGTGTACGATGTTGAGGAGGCGCACAATGTTGGGGTCGTTCATCTCTTTGAGGAGTGAGATCTCGCGGATGGCCGTCGACGGGACGCCTTCATCTTCGGCTTCGAGGCGGATCTTCTTGAGGGCGACGATGCGCTGGTCTTTGGTGGTGAGGTCGCGCGCCTTGTAGACAACTCCGTAGGTTCCTGGGATTATATCAGTAGGCGCGTGGGAAGCCGTTGGGGGATAGCGTACCCTCTCCGACCTTCTCCAACTTCTGGTAGTTCTCCATGGTGGCGGGCTGGGACTGCGATTGCTTCAGACGACAAGCGGTCAAGCGTGTTTAGGTGGATCGCGGGAGATGCAGTTTCGCCGCGAGTCTGTATTAATCCCGGTTCGAGGTGAGGCTCGGGTATTGGATGCCTCTCGTGTGTACCTGTGATTAGTACGTGCGGGCAGAGAGGAAGGTGCAGCGGGGAGCAGGGGACGAGGGTGTCTGGTGTTAGGAAATTCGAGATGTAAACACCCTTGACGCATCGGGCAACGCGCACCCGTCAGCCACAAACGCGAGCTTAGTCAACAATACCTCCCACGTTTCTACAGCCCCATCATCAACATTTACCCGTGGATACGGCTCACGAATATCTGCACATACATCCTTAAATTCCCACGAATTCCTCCTGTCAAGACCCCACGCAAAATGCACCACCTAGACCCCCATGAACGCCCTCCAGACAGCATTCGCAACGTCTACAAAAAGTACCAAAAAATGAAAGCAAAAGACATAGACCTAGATGCCGACATCATCGATCTCTCCAGCGACGCAGCCGCGTCATCAAACCCCAAAGTGCGCGTAGTAAAGGAATACACCGCAGAAGACCTGACCGCCATTTTCCGTTCTTTCGCCGGTGACGGTGAAGACGGGGGGAAACTGCAAGCCATAGATCTGGCAAGATCGGTACCAGTGTATGAACACGAGGATATGCCAGGTAGGACGTCTCCCATGTTTTGAATAAATGAACTATTCCACGCTTGATATTCTGAATTTGCATCTTTTTGGTTTTCAACATCATCTCACACCCCTCATACCTCAACTCCTAACACCTCCCCCAGGCCTCCACATAACCCCCTCCCTCCTCCCCCTCCCCACCCAAATCACCCTCCTATCAACCCTCCTCCACACCTCTCTCTCCAACCCCTCCCACCTAACAAACATACACACCCACTACACGCTCTCCTACCCCACCTCCCCATCCTCTTCTTCCCCCTCATCTCCATCCCCCTCCTCATTCTTCTCCCTCCCCCCGCACTCCCCCACTCCCATCGCTACCCCCCTCTCCCCCTCCATCCACAAACCACTTTCCATCTCCCAACTCCTAAACAAAAAGCTGCGCTGGACAACCCTAGGCGGCCAATACGACTGGACCGCAAAAAGATATCCAGATACACCGCCTCCACCCTTCCCTCCCGGTATCAAAGGCCTGTTGGAATCCTTGTATCCAGAAACGAAAGCAGAAGCCGCGATCGTGAACCTGTATTCTCCAGGCGATACACTGAGTGTGCATCGCGACGTCGCTGAAATGAGTAGTACGGGACTTGTTAGTGTGAGTTTGGGGTGTGATGCGATTTTTGTGTTGGGCATGTCAAGTACGGCAAGTACATCAAGTACATCAAGCACTGTAAAGACAGAAGAGAAAGAGGAAGGAGAAGGAGGAGAAAAGACAGAGGAGAAGATCATAACGCTGAGACTGAGATCAGGGAGTGTGGTGTATATGAGTGGGGAGTCTAGGTTTGCATGGCATGGGGTTCCGGCGATAGTAGCGGGGACGTGTCCTGAGTATCTTCAAGACTGGCCTGCGTCAGCACAGAGGGGGGAAGAAGACGATGGAGAGGAAGAAGGGCAGTATGAAGCGTGGAGGGGGTGGATGGCGAATAAACGGGTGAATTTGAATGTGAGGCAGATGTTCGATTGACCATTCCACTCCACTCCACTCTACATCATGTTACAACACAAGGCAAATCGAGGATATGTACAAAAGCATTATCATGTATTAGTACTATTCAAAGCAAAAGGGGGTATGTATATATATCCGCATCCAATAATCCTCGTCTCGTCTCGTCTCACCTCACAGCCTCTCCATCAACGCACACCTACCACAGCGTCACCTTCGACCCAACATCCACATCCTCATCAGACGTACACGTAGCGATCATGAGACTTTTCCACTAGTATTTCCCCGGCTCACCCGGAACCGCACTCCCCGGTGCCGTCGTCGCACTACCCGGCACCGCACTCGCAGGCGCACTAGTACCACCGCTCACAGCATGGTCAGTCGAGTTAGTACCAGCACCCTCCAGACCCGTGGTCTGGATAGGAGCAGGCTGAGTCTTCTCCTCCGGATACATGTTCTGGGGGCTAGTATCGCCAGAAACAGGGCTGGTGGGAACGTCGTTTGTGACTTTACCCGCTGCGCCGCTGATGACCTGCCACCACTGCTCCGCAGCCTGTGGCGTGTGTGCCTTGAACGCAAATTCATGTGTCATGGAGAACGCACCGCCGATCTTCCCCTTGGACACATCCTTGCCCTTGACATTAAACTTCTGTCCATTCACCGCACCGATCATACAATCCGGAATATAGAGCGACAGTTCGGGGACTGGGTCCTTAGCAAAGTCGTCGTCTGTCTTGAACTCGTGGAGGAACTTGGAAGGGGTTACGACGTAGTAGTTTGTGTCGTAGGAGCGCATGATCTTGCCCTTCTTTTCGAGCGAACCGGAGATGAGGGGCTGCGTCGCGCGGTGGTTCTGGTTGGGGAAACTGATGTCGGAGAGGGTGCGGGCGGGGGCGGCGGGGTCGATCAGCACCGTGTTGTTGCGCTGGATGAAGCCGTTCCATTCGAAGTCTTGGGGGATGCGCTGGGAGGTGCCGACCATGTCGCCGTATGCGGCTTTGGTGTGCTCGGCTTGCGTGTTGACGACTTGCAGGAACTGGCCCATGCCGGACTGGATCGTCTGGATGATGTGGGCTTCGAACTGGGCGAATGAGTTCTGCACACTGATCAAGTCCTGGCGGTTGTTGTTCTCCTCCTGGACTTGCTTGTGCAGGCGGTGGTTGACGCCGCGCTGGAGGATGTAGGGGTCGTCGGTGGCCTTCATGTTGCCGCTGTGCGAGTCGAAGACTGCCGTGTGCTGGCCAAGGAGCTCAATCTGCTTCTGGGTGTGCAGGCGAGCCTTGTCGACAGCCTTACTGCCCTTGCCAGCTCCCTTGGTGAGCTCCTTGCTCTTGTTTTTGATCTCGGTGTGCAGGCGGTCGAAGATGGGGAGGACGGCGCCCTTGAGCTGCTTTGCGGTCTCGTAGTGTTGGTTGGAGATGCCCTGCCATGGTTAGTCTCAGACTCGGTATCTGATGTGGGAGAAGTCGTACCTGGGTGTTGGACCTGATGTTCTCGAACATGCCCGCAATACCACCGAGCGACTGATCGAAATGGTGGCCCTCCTTCAGGGGATCCTTGACCGTCTGTTCAACGTCAGTAGCTGTATCACTATCGCATTGAGTCGACCAACCTTCAAGACGCGCTCATACTCCTTGCCGTGTGCGTGGTTCGTCTTCTCGGTAGCTGTGACATAATCCTCGAGGTAGGCGACGGCGTGCTTCCAAGCTTGCAATCGCTCCGCAAAGAGCTTCGTGACCTGAAGACGTGTTAGAAGCTTTCCCTTTCATCGGTCTACAGACTACTCACCTCTGAAGTGTCCTCGCCTGGGATGGCATCGTCGTCGGCAGATCGGTTGGTGAGGCTGCGCGTGGGCATCTCACTCGTGGCAGAGGTGGGCGCAGACATATTGCAGGTGTGTCGAGATACTGAAGAAACAAGGTGCAGTCGTGGAACGTGTCTTCGCACGTGTAGGAGGTAACGTTGTTGTTGCTGTGAAGCTCGAACGACGCGGCTAGCGAGATTTGGTTGGTGAAGGCGGGGTTCGCGTGCTTCCGGAAATGAGCCCGTGTCGTATGCTGCACGAGGGAAACTTTTATAATAAAGATATCTGGTTCAGTAGGATTATTTTCCAGGGTAAAATCAGGGTCCAGGGAGGGGTTTAAGTTTGATTCAAGCTGCCGTGGGCGCATCTAGATCGACACGCACACATGCCGGAGAAGCAGGGTGCCATGAGGGTTTTGGCTGGCCCTGTGACGTCAACGCTCGCAGCTTTAGTCTAGATCCACGCGGGATCTACGCCAGGAAATGGGTTTGGAGCGCTGCTGCGCCACGATCCTAGGGGTGATCGCGGGACACACCCTGACCACATGGTTACATTCAAGGTCGTTGACGTATCGTGGCTTCATGCCATTGCGCCCGAGTGTGAGAGGGTTGTCAGGGTCTCCGCCCAACGCCATAGTACCCCCACATTAGCACCGAGGAGCGGCAGACGCTCCGAGGCCTTCAACGAGCACAACATTGCGCTAGGCTGAGATTCGGGTCAAGCAGAAAACTTCCAAGGTCGTGATACCCCTGTAGAGAGGTAGTTAAACTGGAACTCGGAGTCTGGTGTGGCTCTACGAGGGGTGCTTATTTGTCATGCCGTCAACTTTTCTGGCTGCATGTCGGTTGCCAGTGTCTGACCAGAGCGGGTAGGAGGAAGGAAAGCGCCCTCTGGACTCGTCATACTGAGACAACTCATATGCTGGAACTGTGTTCATTCAATACATAACTACACCTTACTAGATCCTGTACTCGCCAGACATGCAATGCTATCGAAAGGGGTATGCAACATCGCTAAACGCTAAAGACCGAATCCCAAGTAAACAAGCCTATTTCCCAATGCCCGCATATCGTTTCATCATCCGTAAACCACCATCTTTGAGGCCATACACCACCCGAGCCAACCTAAATCTTTGAAATTACCCAAAAAAGAAAAGCTATCACCATGTATCTTTGCCTGCATCTACGCCGGGTGAATGCCATTATACAGCTTCTCCAACTTCAGCTCATCGACATCGCTGGTCCACTCGTGCAGCCTCGGCAGAGTGACTCTCCACCCTCTGTCTTCCATCTCTTCTAGTATCGTTGTCGTCTTGCGATCTGCGTCATCTTGGTCTGTGGCGCAGATGACGAAGGTGGTCAGGTAGAACATGACGAAGGGGTATTTGGAGTTGAGGAAGTGCTGGATGTAGTATTGCCAGGCGTTTGCGGAAGAGGGGCGGTCGAATGCTGGGATATGTGTTAGTCGATGTTAGAAGAGAGCCAGAGGAAGAGACGTACGCATCGCGTTCCAGCGGTAGACATGACCTTCCCACGTCGCAAAGTTCAGACCACTCTTGCCTAGACTCTTGATTGCCGGCATGGGCCATGCGCAGTAGTGTGTCTGTATCGAACCCTTGGCCATTATCGCATTCGGATGCTTCAGCTTGTAGGCCAGCGCGAAGTCGGTGAGACAAGTCTTTGACGGCAGAGGTAGCGCTGGCGTTTGCTCGCCTTCAGCTCTCGTAGCGCTGTCCTCGTAAGGGAAGTAGAGATCAGGCGCGCCATCCGCGCCTTGTACAATAAGAGGACGAGTCTGAGGCTCTTCGTACTCAGATGCAAGGCTGATGATGCCGTAACGCTCCATGTCCTCTATTGTGCGGCGGATGAAGCGATTGTCATCTCGAGAAACATTCTGCAACGTCGTCAAGCTTTGCTTTTTGGCGATGATCACTGGGTCTGGGTCGTATGTGCGCCATCTGTTGCCTTCGTGCTGAATTTCACCAGGCGGTGGGTACCGTAGCTCGGAGGAGCATTCGATCTGGATCTCTTCCAAGTATATCTCTTGCACTGAGGACGGAATGACTTCGCGTATGACACGCTTGGCCATCTGCCGAGGTGAAGGGTCTCCGACCAACATTAGCAAGGTATCTTGTACGATATCGATCAACCGAAAGGGCAGTCCGACTTCGCGATCTATGATGATGAACTGCCAGGAGTCGACAACAATGGGATCGTACATAGATGTCTTCCTCATACGCAGCTGGTTCTTGACCTCTTCCAGGGTAAGCGTAGTCGTGAAGTCGACTGCGTCCAGCTCATCTAGGCTTGTCGCAGAACGATGGCGACTGATGAAGAGATCCGGCTCGGTCGGATGAACGGTAGCGTCTGCATGCGTACCTTCGTATACGACGAGGTACAGCGATGCAGTTCGTCTACGAAGCTCATTGAGGAAGGCTGCCGTCAAAGGATGTCCTATTGCCATCTGGCCACACAAGTAATTGCGCGACTGGCGCTGAATCCATTTCCCATCTTCTTGCTTGAGACCCGTGTTTGATCCGAAGTCCCCTTTGCTCGTTGGTATGAATCCCATGTACACACCTGTCGCGCATTCGGCCAGTATACTTTTGGGGTCATACCAATGATTGTTGTACAACTTCAGCATGAGAAGCTTGCAGATAGTTGTGTAGTCTTCAAAGTTCGAGCAGATACTAGCGAGTGTCCATGGTGTGAGTAGTGTAGGGAACCAGCGATGACTGAGACTTGTTAGTTGATGCCTGTATAGGTATAGTGTGAACTTACAGGATATCCCAACATGGCTTGGTCATCTTCAAACCTTCGGTGGTGCTCGGTATCGTGCCTCCAAGCAATTGGATGGTCTTGATGTCACCACCTGCAAGCGTTTGCGCGCATATCGCAACACGGAGGTATTGGACAGCATGTGGGCGCCACGCTTTCTCGAAAAAGTCACAGTACATCTCGAGCTGACTAGCCTGACAACCAGAGAGAAACTCGTGTATGCCTTTCGATCTTGTCGCATGCTCCAGTGTTGCAGCCTCGCTATCGTTTAATACCATGATGCGAAACCAAGCGCGAATGATTTCCGTGCCGGTGTCCGGACCTGTCTTATCATTGGTGCCAGGTGAATCGGGAAAGCTTTGCGAGTCGTCCAAGTCGGGAACAATGGTGTACAGCCGACGTATGCTGTCGGCGCAAAGGTCCAGATAAAAGTGTTTCAACACAAGTATGGTGCCATCGTCGGGTAGACCGTTCAGCGAGTTCATTGGTATCCTGGGGTCCAGAGGCGACCGAAGAATCATAATCTTCTCCCCTTTGTTGCGATGATTTGGATGAGGCGATGTAGTATGGATCCCAGGTGTCTCTGGAGTCGGGCCGCGGTTGAGGTTCGACACTACGTTACAAACATGTCAGTTTACGCCCAACATAGGAAGCATGATGGAGAAACTTACTCAGTAGTGCATCAGCGAGAGCCCTGACGTCGTTCTCCATCTTGTGAATCCACTTGATGTAATCTTGGATGTCTCCGCCGCGAGGGTAGAAGCGATCCTGGATCTGCCGCCTGAGATCAACCGACTGGCGCAACTTCAAAATCTTCTGCTTCGCGGCATCCAATCCAGTAACCATCATCTTTTCAGCATCCTTATGGACCCGACTCCATCGCAATGTCATCTGCATCCACTCGTCGTGGTGCCTGTAGCACCAAATGTCGTCCGCGCTCGACGGGAGCGCGACCCAGCACGCTCGCCCATCCGACTCGACCGCTTCGCAAACATCACCAGTCGTTGTAGGCGAATCCGGAACGTCGCTCAAACGAAGTAACCGTCGTGTGTTGCCCCGAAAGGTTGTGGGTCGCCGTTCCTGAGAGCTGCTAATGCGCAGCTGGACGCTCATAGCTGGCGATCGAGTGGGGTTGGCTTCGGCGACACTCTGGCAAAGTCTCGCCGGCATCTACTTCAGCGCAAACAACGAGCAAGAAAGAACAACAACGAAAAGTGAGCGAAGGACCGAATGCAATAGTTAGGGGAAGCGGCGTATCATATCAGCCTCTCGTGACCAAGCCCGAAGCATGAGTTGTCCGTCTGGTCGGTGTGTGTGCCCCGCGGGGTCTGCGCCCGTTTACAGGCCATGTCTCGTCAAATACGGCACGGCAACCGTGAAGTCAGCGTACAGCCATGCCGTTTCAATTGGCGCAAAACAAGGGCCTCATTGGCCCCTTCGTAAGGCACGATAAGGCACAGACCGCCATGTATTGTTGCTACTACGTGCAGATAACGTGGCGTCAAGTGGGAGGAAGCTGGGTCTGAAGCGCGGCTGTCTACCAATGTCGGCAAGAGTCCTAGGTAGGAACACACAACTGGGCTAAACCCGGGACTCTGATTGAACGAACCAATGAAGCTTTCGCGCAGCGGATATTGCCCAATCGATGTATGCGATGAGCCGCTCTTGACCCCGTGGGCCGCCAGGTTATAATCTCCCCGCCCCCTTCGCTAGGTGCTGGGGTAAAACGGCTCGATGTTGAACATGTTCGATTCAAGATCTTATCTGGTGCTCAGGTATGAGTGTATGAATGACTGCTATTCCATACGTCTTCGAAAATGCCTTGCCTGTTGCATGTGCCGTGCCGTATGCAGTGGTGTGTCTATTGTTGGAGTTCTCCAGGGTGCAGAACCACATGATGTTTACCGAACCGAGGACGTGACATCCTTGCAACATAGTCGTGATCCCGCACCCATGCGGAAGCCACAAATGCATTCCTCTTCGGGTGCATTTTGAGCAATCTGAAACACTTGAATATGGGGTACCGAGCCTCTCATCGCGGCTCTGCGCGTGCAAGCAGCTTTCTAGGCACTCCAACACACAACCCTCTATCCATCGTGATGGCTCAGATTGGTGGGTTGGACTAAGCCCCTGGGCGCTTATGCGGGCGCGTATGCAATGTGAAGGAATGGGGAACGAATGAACCGGCTGTGGACTCAAGTGTCACGCTCAGCCAACCGAGCGGACCGGATAATCGACCCGCCGCTTTCGGGGCCATGAGATGTCTCGCGAACCAGTCGCGGTGACAAGCTGTGGAAATCAGCCCTCTTTGCTGTGCCTCAGTGAGCCTACTGTTAGCTTCTTCGTGTTCAGGTTTGTCCTGCAGTACGAGCCGCAGATATCGTCACTCCGGGCTACAGCAACCACGTGGCCAACCATGGTATGGGTAACGCTACTGATCATGACATTGACGATGAATCGTCTGTGCAACAAAAAAAGCAAGGAGAGCGTGGCACCCTGCAGTATGGGGAAGACATGCAGTTGGGACCGAACAAGTTGTGCGAGGCTCAGACAATGACTGCAAGCGCGCGCGTTCAGCAGGTCGTTGGTAGTCACTCGTTGGACGTCTCTTGAGGCCTGTGAGGCTGGTTACGATGCAGGAGGTTGGCGCCTCCAACAATGGAGGAGGTTGGATCCTTTGGGGCCGCCCAATCCTCTTTGGTTATCGCGTTTCGAAACAAAATGGCAATCGGCGGTCAACAGAGCAAAAGGGTTGTGATGTTGGTGTCATGTTGTGGTTGGGATGAAGAACCGTCCCGGGCAGGTGTCAACGAACGTTGATGACGTCGGACCGACCCATACTGCGACCCTTGAATATCCGCTCGTCTACGTTAGACCTCCGGTCGGCCTCAGCGCCGCAGACGCGTTGGAGGCTCCTTAGAGCAAAAATAGTGAATAGGATCTATCTCCGATCTAAGTTGGAGGCGGCAATTGCTTACCCCACATTTCGGAATACCGAATGTGGCTAAATTCAGCTGTCATCCGAGGTCGAGCTGCGTCGCAATGTGGGCAGCATAGCACTGGAGAACGGCCCTATCTCCCCACACACTGCTCGGTGCCGAATTGGGCTATACATATAGGAATTGGCCTCCAGAGCATCATACAATACCAGCAAACATATCTGTGTTGCTAATCCCATTGACGTGCTACCAATAGGTCGAATTGGCACGCGCCTCCCCGCATTTCTCCACACAACCGAACAACGCGACAACAAGAACCGTTGCTCACGATGGTGATCTCAACAGCAATTCGCATTGCGCCATCTCGCGCGGCTCGCGCACTCAACCTCCTTCGAACCGTACAATACACACATCCTCCATCATGTCCCTGCCATTCGAACCCCAACTACCACCAATCGCCGTCTACTGTTCAGCAAGCACGACGACATCTCGCAACACCCCTCGATCACTCCCAACAAAAGGAATATGCGTTTGAGATGGCGGCATCAAGCATAAGATTTGGGCCGGGATGTACAAAGGAAGTTGGCATGGACTTCAAGAACATGGGCAGTAAGCGCGTCATGGTCGTCACAGACCCCAACGTGAGGAAACTAGACGCGATGAAGCAGGTCATTGAAGGTCTGGAGAGAGAAGGTGTGACATACGAAATCTTTGACAAGGTCAGAGTAGAGCCAAAGGACCACAGCATATTGGAAGCCATCAACTTCGCGAAGCCATGGAAACCAGATGCGTACCTAGCTGTTGGTGGCGGCAGTGTCATCGACACAGCCAAGCTGATGAACTTGTACACAACCTTCCCCGACGCAGAGTTCCTAGACTTCGTCAACGCGCCTTTGGGCAAAGGAATGCCCATTCCGTCAAAGCTCTTCCCGCTCATCGCTGTACCAACAACTGCGGGAACTGGCTCTGAAACGACTGGAACTGCTATCTTCGACCTGGTTTCCAAGAGAGCGAAGACTGGTATCGCGCATCGCAACCTGAAGCCCACTTTGGGCATAGTCGACCCGCTGAACACACGCACTATGCCCTCTGCTGTCCACGCATCTTCAGGTCTCGACGTACTGTGCCACTCTCTCGAATCGTGGACCGCAATCCCATACTACGAGCGCACTCCACGACCGACCAACCCCCTCAACCGACCAGCCTACCAGGGTGCAAACCCCATCTCCGACATCTTCTCTCTCAAGGCCTTGAAAGACACAGTCAAGTACCTGCCCCGTGCGGTGAAAGACCCCGATGACCACGAGGCCCAGTCGCAGATGTTGCTAGCCGCGACACTCGCTGGTGTAGGCTTCGGTAACGCAGGTGTACATCTCTGCCACGGCATGTCGTACCCCATCTCAGGCCAGAACCCTGGATACAAGCACTCAGGCTACGACGTCGACCACACCATCATCCCCCACGGTGTCAGTGTCGCAGTAACCGCGCCTGCAGTCTTCAAGTTCACCGGTGCATCAAACCCGGAGCGACATTTGGCGGCGGCAGAAGCATTTGGTGTCGATATCTCGAATGTCAAAGCAGAGAGCGCGGGAGAAGTACTTAGTGAGGCGCTCGCGGAGTTCTTGGTCAAGCTTGGTGACCAGCCACGTGGGTTGAAGGCGCTTGGGTTCGGGAAGGAGCATTTGGATCAGCTGGTTGAGGGTACCATTCCGCAAGCGAGAGTGCTGATGCTGGCGCCTAGTTTGGAGATGCAAAATATTGATGCTGAGAGGGAGCAGTTGCGGGGTTTGTTTGAGGATGCGATGGAGTATTGATCAAATACCGGTGGACATCTAGGTACGCAGCTTGCTTTGTAAGATTCGCAACTTACCATACATGAAACATTTATTCGAGATCGCATGCGCCAAATTGCTTGAGTTGCATAGTACTCTTTTCCACATCGCCAGACATCCATGATCAAATTCCGGGTCTGGCAGGTCTTGCCGTCGCTCTTGGAGTCGCGACGATGCTCACCCGAGCGCGTCTTTCCATATCTGAGTCGCATAAGCTGCGGAAGGTGTAAGTGGCGAGCCGACTCTGAGCCGTTGCGATACCATGGGATGGAGGTGGTGAAATCAGATCAAGGGTACAAGACGACGCCGTGAATGGTAATACCGGAACCCCAACTCGACTATGCGAACGAATTTGGCTGCCCCATTCTTGCTACTTAAGCTCGCAGTCTCGCCCGATATATTTGTTCATTAAAATTATACCTGCAGACATCTCCTGTCCTGGAAATAGCAAGAAGTATTAGCTATACTACGTTGCGAGATGGCACTACAGTAAGCCACCATTCCAGTCCAATAGATCCCAACAGCTAACGAACGACAAGGCGTCGATCAGGGACGCCGGTGATTCCCGATTATGACGATGTCGGTCCTGCTACGCGCGGTTATTATCTCAGTATCGCCGAGTAAGTGGTAGCGTTTCGTTGTGATCTGGCAATATTAACATCGAGTAGCGCATCAAGACAGCTCCAGATCTTACTGAAACAGTTGAGATCTCTCCATCGATTTACCCACAAGCACAATTGGACAGTACTAAACTATGCGAAAAAGGAGGAATTGGCCGCCTATCACGCGGCTGCTTGCAGCATTATGAACGCGATCCGTCGACTCAGAGCCGATGTTGACGAGCAGATCGTAAAGCATGAAGCTGCCCCGTGCAATCAGATATTGCAGAAAGTGAAACCCCTTCCGCAGGAGCTCCGCGATATGATATATGGCTTCATTTTCCAGGACTCAGCTGCTCGTCTATTGGCGGAGGAGGACGAAAAGTTCGAGTGCTACGTTGATGCCTGCCTCGAATCGGGAAATACAAGGCGCATCCCTTACCGCTATCTTCTAGAGCCCGATTACTTCGTTGATGACGCTGTCATCAGGGAAAATTTGGCTAGAGGGTGGTTTGAAACTACAAAATTTGGGATTATGGATCCCTCCATCATGAATTCTTTTCTCCTTCAGTTTCCGTGGAGTACTGGACTACAGCCACTCAGCTTACTACACCACGTCACCTTGGTGATATTTCTTGAAACCGATACTGTCGACCACACCGGCTACCTGGAGCGATTCAAGTCACTGCTCCTCCTCGACAAAGCGCATACAAAAATCACGATCTGCGTAAACGACCTCATTTACTACCCAAACTTCAGAGACGCAAAAGTTTTGCCATTGAGAGCGTATGCGCAGAGTGCAGCCTACCTCTTCCCAGACTTGGTTGAACTGAGAAGGAAGGGATACAAGGTGACAGTGCGTTCTGAAAGGGGCCTGGAATTTCTAGTTGAGCCTGAAGAAACTACTGTGGAAGGGTGGACGAAGAAGTTTGAAGCAGCTGTTGAAGAGGCTCGCATAAAGTTCTGGAAAGAAGAGTACAGTGGACATTATCCGGACTGGGACGACATGCAGGACAAGATGGAAGATGCGTCACAGAAGTATATCTCGGATAGCTCACAGCACTACTTTTCAGGTGATCTGCAAGATGATGATTCGGATGAATCACGCGAGGATGAGTCAGACGGGTCACAAGAGGATGATATGGACGAATCAGAAGGATAAGATTTGGAACAGCCGCGAGCAACGTAGTTCTTGTATTGCACGACTCGCTCAAAAAGAAACGGCACTAACTGGAAAATTGTTGATTAAATGCGTCACATGCTGGTGCTATGGGCCATCGAACGCCAGCACGTATCGAATGTAAGCCTTGACTCTAGTGTATCGCAACCATGGTTCTCAATGAAATCTCATCTTAACAACCAAAGTATAACACGGTCACATCGGACGCTAAGCCGAAAGAGCTTGGATGCGTCACCTTTGCGACTTAACTTCGTACTTCCCCAATATTTTTGTGTACCGAGCTTTGAACACACAGGTTTCCTCGTTCACAGAATCAACAATACATCTTGGAGATTGACTATACTGCTTGACACGAGATGGCGCAACAGTGAGTAGCAATGACAGTCCTCCAAATTTTGGTAGCTAACGAGCGAAAAGAGCCCAGATGGAACCTTCAAATCTCTGGGACCCCATGTATGATGAAGATTCCGAGGATGAGATGAACACTTACCTTAAAGAGTATGTAATACGCTTCCTTTACGATCGAGATAGTTATTGACATCGACCAGAGCATCGTTCCGATTGGAAAACGCCAAAAGGCTTTCATACGCTGTCCGGCTATTGGAAAACGACGCAGACGTGCCTGCGCTCTTGACCACTGAACAGCAAACAGTCCTTGGAAAGACAGACGGCGTCGCGAATACCATCATCAAGCAAACCAAATGCGAGGTAGACACTTGCATCAGGTCTCGCGAAGCGCCGCGCTGCCGTGCGTTGCTCGAGGAAGTACGCAAGCGATTCTGTCAAGAACTTCGCGACGCGATATACGGGTTCCTCTTCCAAGGCCAACGAGTGGAATTAGACGAAGACCATGAAGTCAGCGGACACGAAAGTATTAAGGGTATTAGCAAAGCTAACCTAAAGTGCCGGTCTGACACCTGGCTACTGACTCCCGGCTACTTCACTCAGGACGACCCAATTAGGCTCGAACTGGTTAAAGCGTGGTACCGGAATGCGACCTTCCTTGTCATCGATCCCAAATTCATTTGCAGATCTCTTAGAAGATTGCGATGGTCCACCAATCTGAACCCGCCCCGATTCATCAAGAGATTTGAGATCAAGGTACGGATCGGTGGCGAAACGTTTGAGCAGGAAGAGTTTGCGGAGAGGCTCGAGTTGCTCAGGCATTTCCACAGGACGTGCCCGATTGTTACGATCATATTGGAGAATCTCATTGAAAATATGTATGACGGTCATGATGCGCAGGCATGCGCTCAACACGCCGCATACATGTTTCCAGCGTTGCTGTCACTGCATCGTTTGCGGTTCAAACTCATAGTTCGATCTGAGTTGAACTTGAAGTTCGTGGTGGTACCCGAGGAGACTACTGTGGAAGAATGGACCAAGAAGTTCCATGAGGCGATCAATGCGTCGGAGGGGATAGTCGGGACATGATAATGAAAGCTGTGCGCACGTGTCACCGCTAGGCATCACGAGCGTGTTCCGCTTATACCTCTTCACGTATAGCAGACCCGCAGTACCACTTAACACCTGCACTCTTTATCACTTCTTCAATTTCACACTCAAGTTGAGAGCAAAACATCATGTCAGTGAGCATCGACAGCAGCGTCACAGGAGTAACGCCAACTCAAGATGAAGATCGGGAGTATCTTCAAACGTACGCGCCATTTTGTTGAGAAAGAACAATAGCTGACCTCCAACAGCGAGTTAAAGAAGCTGAAAGTCCTTAAGAAGACGATAGACGCGAGCGTCGGAGAATTGAACGCCGAGAATCATATCTTCTGTCTACGCAACAGTTGTCCAGTCAAGGAGCCTTCTCACGAAACCGGTCGATACCAACGGATGTTCAGACTCCAGGAAGAAGCCCGGGATATTGCTAGTGAGATCAACCACCGTATGACGCGGTATGCAGCGGCGCAGTGTCTCCCTATCTGCACTATGGTCTGCGACAAACTACCCCGCGAGCTTCGCGACATGATATACCAATACATCATTGGGGAGTCGATCGTGAGGATTGATAAGGAGGTACTGAAATCTTTCCTCTTTTGTTCCGAAATCGGTGTCACGCCCATGGTCCCCGCAGGGTTCCCAAACCGCACCAATATTGCCTACGAGCACCTCTGGGATCATGACTACTCCGGCAAGCTCTTCTACTCCGAGCTTATCGAGGCCTGGTACCGCACTACAACATTCTCCTTCGTCGAATGTCGTCTCATCCCGGACTTCCTCAACGATCCGCGCTTCGGCTACGGCGTACTACCGCGTGAGTGGGTGCGCAATATCAAGATCATCAGGATTACGACAACGGAGAGCGTCCTCTCTATATACAGGGGAGAAGAGAAAGCATTTAACATCAAGACCGGCGATCTCCATAATCTCAAAGACATGCCCAAGCTAACGGGCGTTATATTCGACTTTGATGCAGCTTTTACGTCACTTCCTACGTATCACGACAACTACAGGCGATTTGTATTGACGGATCTGAAGGAAATGTTTCCGAAGATTCAAGATCTACTAGATAGGGAGTGTAGGGTATCGGTAATGTTCTCCAGTATGGGGCCGCTTGAAATGCGAAGGGATGAGCTTACTTCTCAAATATGGGAGGATAAGCTGGAGGCTATCAGGCCTGATTAGACGAAGTACACAACACCCACAAGGGCAGCCGGACGGCTACATCTACCAAATGTTATTCCCTTGTACTGTATTATGTTATTGTCGTCTCCTGGCTGAAATCGAACGAACCTGAAGATCCCCTTCACTTGATCTTTCCCTGCGCGCGTCGTCGTCGGCGCGTCCCCGCGTTGCCCGGTCACTCACCTTCACCACCACGCCAGTGACCGCAAATTCACGCTCCTTCCGCAAACAGAACGCCCACACCCTTCCAGACTTTTCCAATGCGCGTCATCGCCACCCATTACTCAGCCCCGGCGCCGGATCAATCCCCCGCCGCGCGCCCACACTGGCTATATAATCTCGCCTGCCCCCTCCCTCCCACCTTGTTTCTTTTCCTTACCTTGAACTCAAAACTGCAATCGTCGCTCTTGTTCGCATAGACGACCCAATTGCGGTTTTACTCCTCGCTTTCTCGCGCTGACGTGAGAGAGTGAGGTGGTTCAAGGTCATACCGCTACGGCGGTCGCTTGGCCTTAGGGACAAGCTTTGCGACCTTACGGGGTTCAATGGACACACTTTCATCGGAACCCATACCTACACATCCTTATGGGTGTCGCTTATCCACGGAGAAGCTGTTTTGAATCTCTCAGCTCATACTATCGCACACTCGGGGCGTACGCAAAAGCTGCTACGGCAGTGCTACGCCGGTGTGCGTGGTTTGACTGAGACAAGAATCTACGGATCCCTTGGCTGACAATTCCACACACTTGGGAGCGTCGGCGGTTCATCTGTTTGGGCTACTGACGGCTACGTCAGTCGCGAGAAGCTGCGAGAAGGCGTCTTCTCGCAGGGGATTGTTGATCCATTGCTGAGGGTGGGAGGGAGAGGGAGAAGCTTTCATGACCATCCAGCTCATTCTTTCGCACACTCGGAGGAATGAGCAAGGTTGGCATGATTGACAAGACACCGATTCACGCATCTTGGCTGATCTGTCCCACCTACTTGGGAACGGTAGCCAGTCGTGATGACATGTACTTGAGGGAAGATGGGGTGGATGGGAGGGGGTTTTGATATGGATGGAGATGGATGGAGGGTTGGAGAAGCGGAGAAGCGGAGGAAGTTGTGGTGTCGGTGTAGATAGTAGATAGAGTAGAAGAATGTCCATTCTTCTACACAACGCTCTTCTGTCGTGAGTGCTCACCAAAAACCCCCAACTTGAACTGAACTTGTTCGCTGGATGTTTCTTCGCGCAGTACTTGGATTGCTACAAGATATCGCCCACTTCGTGTCGTACGATCAGAAGACGAAGTAGGCGGCTCACACATGGTCTCGCGAAAAGTTCCAAGAGGATTGTGTTTGCGACATGCGTTCTAACGAGAGGAAGGGTTTTGAGTTGCAAGTAAGAAGAGAATACGCGCAGAGAACTTGAATCACGTACGAACACAGTATAAAACCTTTGACGAATCCCAATACAAGGGGACATAACATAGCGTCATCTGATGGATGTTGTCGCTTCTAACAAGCATCACCACTTCATCGCCCGATCTAGTGACGCGAGATTCGTTCTCTTGATATTCTCCAAACTCTACGCTGTGGGAGCAAAGTCATGAAAGCATGTAGTATTAGATAGCCTTCCTATACTTGTCAGTGCTCGTAGTCGGCGCACGATGTAGACAGTACTATACATGCCACATCATGAATCAGACCCAGCGACGACCATATCGACCCGCTTCCTTCTTCCCACTGCTTTCGTACAGCAGTCATACATTCTCTAGTGTTCTATCATTTCTCCGCTGCTGCTTAACATCTTCCTCTCGCTTCGCGTTCTTGGCATCCACCCAAGCCTAAAAAAACATCAAAATCACAATATTATCACCCTTAACCGCCAAAAAGGTTCTCGACACATCCAAGGCGAATGTGTGAACTGTAAGCCCGACGTGGGGGTCGAACCCACAACCTTGAGATGAACCAATCGAGTCTATTTAGGACGTGAAAGCTAAGAGTCTCACGCTCTACCGATTGAGCTAGCCGGGCTGATATATTGGCTTCGGGAAAATTAAGGTGTACTCATTTACTGTTGTGAGGGCTGGATTGAAGCATCAGGGCTCAAGAAGCTTGTAGCATCTGGTGTGAGGTGTTCAAGTTGGGCATGGTAAAGGTAGGGTAGAGTTTTTTTCTTTCGGCCGATATACGGCTACACTTGAGGAAGGTATTCCAGCATAGAGCGACCACTATGTTGATATGCGAACCACATGGCATGTACACATGGCAATGCTACAAGTGAATAATACGCGCGAACAGAACGCAGAAGTAGTAATACCTACACCCCACTACACACCTTCCACACCCAGCCTCAGGCACAGATACATCATCCATCACAACACATGCCACCTTCGCTATCGCAGTCTTACCCCTGCGTGTAACAAAAACGCACATGCTCACCGTCAAAAAATACAATACCTCAACAGTTCACAGCTGGCCGTCAGCACTACACCCAAACCCTACACACCACCCAAGCGAACACACTTGAGTGCTCAATCCGCGACACCAACAGGACCCACATCGGCGGTCATGCACGTACCCGCAGAGCCTCAGCACCTTCCTCCGACCCCCGATACCAGCCGCCTCCATATCCAATATCCAGTAGTGTCAATTCCCATCGTCTGACCTATCATTCGTTCGGAGTCGGCACGGACAGAGTTCCTACACAATCTATCGTTCGATAGTCTGTCGCAAGACTCCGAAGCAAAGACTTTGCTGTATCCACAGTCCAGCCACCTCGGAGTCGACGTGAGACAGCGATGGCAACGGTGGTTCGCGATGGGCTTAGATTACAAGCTTCCATATTCCCGGCCGGTGAACTAGCGGCGCGGAGGTCGTGTTGGTGGTTGTAATGTATGCAGTCTGCGTTATGCGAGGGTGATGCTTCTTCTCGAAGCGGCGCTAATGCAGAGTCTAGAAGGGCGTGAGAGTACATGCCACATGCGATTCCTCGCGCGATTATTCTCGGGAGGATTGGGATAGGCTGGGAAACTTGGGTAGTTGCCGTTGTTTTTCGATACGCCGAACACGTTGTCTAAGCGTAGGTAGGCGTAAGCCGGAGGCATCGCATCGGAGGTTAGCTGGCATCGGTGGTTTGTAGGGCTATGGTTCTACTCGCTTGGGACTGGAGAAACCGAGCCGAGCCTCCGAGGATAGACTATCGTTGTCTTACCATGCCGGAAGCAGTAGCCCACTAGCATCCATCGCAGTCTAAACGAAAGAAAGATAAACTAGACTCGTTGCGAGTAAGTTGATACCGGTGTAACGTTGCTTGCCCCAAACCACCGCTTGCGTGGCGGTGAAAAATGGCTGTGGCTCAGATACTCGAGAGGCTCGAGCCGAGCATTCACCGTTGTGGGTCGCAGACGCTGTCAGCTGCGGACATGGAACATGGCATTTCAACTCCATGCCATATCCACATGTACAGAAATAACCGAGAAGTTCTGGACTCGCGGGAACTACTCGTTGTGCGCTTTACAGTGGACCTTTTTGTCGGAAATGTACGGGTGAGATTGAGAATTATTCTCGTCCGCGCATCTGCAACCCTTAACTGCGGAGTACAGCCAGACATGTGACAGCAAAAGACAACGGGAACTATGCGAGGATTTACGCCCCCCAGGTGGAGATATTGATCCTTGTAGAGCGAGTAGAAACCGAGAGTTTGCATGCGAGCTTTACTTTGATGGGGAAGGATCATGACAATGTGACTTGCAAAACCAACTAAAGAAAAGAAAAAACTCCTCTTCATTCAGACTCGTGCAGATATCACGTCCGATGTAACAGTGCTTTGGGTAGCAATGCAGGTACGTACCTGCCATTTTGATTCCGTTGAAACAATAACCCTGGCTGCGCTCGTGAACTTGCGTTGCTTGCGTGTCGGTGGAGCTCGGCAAGCACCGCACACATGCGCGCCCGCGCAGGTTTGGCACGTGAAACTCGGTTCATGCATGCATGCGTTCGCAAGTCAGCGTCCGTCGGATTTACCGACATGAATGTGCTGCAGCGTCGACAGCTGCGCATGAGTGACGCTGTTCATGAGGAAATGGATACGATTGTGTGATTTGTGCATACTCCATGCCCAATGCGAACACAATGACGCATGAATCAGCTCAATCGATACATTCAACACCCTGCACGCATGCGCGTCAACGCGTCGCCAGCCTCGCGAGTGCCGAATACGGAAGACTCGTCTCTAATGGCCACAGGAAGTATAAAAAAGCTTGTTGTGCGGCGAGGCCAATTAGTTCTAGGCGTAAACGATGTAATATTCTCTGGGGCTTCTAGAAAATCTTCGCTTGTGTGTGACGATGGCAAAAGGCGAAAAGGGCTGAGATCCGCTGGCAGCCAATCGATCCGGTGGAGCGGAGGGGCTGTTGGCGCTGGCGATAACGACTCCACACCACTTGCGGGCACCAGAGGTCTTGTTGAGAGAAACATCGATATTGGTGGTTAGGCCTAGCCATGCCAATCAGCAAACTACCATCGCTATTTCGTCAGCGCGATCTTGTTGGATTTCTTGTGTGACGTATGAGCAGCTCTGTTGAAGCAAGCCAACAATCCTGCCGCAACATGTCTCGTGTTGGGGAGCTGAATAACCCTGAGGCTGACAAAGACATATCTTTCGCGCTGTAATTTACCAGTGTTCTGCATTTAGCCTGCCTGGGGGAGAGGTTTGACCCGGTTTACCCAATCCAGTAACTTCATGATCGACGTCTTGGGCCTTGGTACCTGCATTGGATCCGGTGTGTACGTCATGGATCCCAAACTCCATGACGAAGCTCGAGCAGGTTCACCCCAGAAAAGGGATATGCTTTCTACCCCATGATGTGTTGCGACCCATTGTCTCCAGATTGTAACAGGTTCGTGACCAGGATCTCGCGGCTTCTGGCAAGTGAGGCGCATTGATGACAGCATCTTTGATGCAGCGAACAACCATGGAAGCAACTGATGCGAAAAGGGTCTTCGCGTCGAGGGTCGAA